AGGCTGTTTAAATTGATAGTTTGGCATAAGACTGCCAGTTCCAAGTTGCAACTAATAGGAAATGATGAAAAAGATGTCAAAAAGATAGGTACTAGAGTTCTAATAAACTTTACAAGAATAGAAATAGTATAATATAGTGGTTAAACAGGTAACTTCTATGACTGCAAGTGTTAAATAATTATAGCATGTTGTATAAAACTAGGTCAATATGTGTAGGACATAAAGATTTTAATAAGTTTTCTGTTAAGGATAAAGTAGTTCTAAGGGTACTAATTAGCATTGAGAACTTGGATAAATGTAGTCTTGAAGATGTTCTTATAATACAAGATAAATTGCATATGCAGAGAGTTTAAATAGACAAGATCTTTAGTTGGCTTGCAGGTATGACATCTAGTATAGAACTTATATAGCAATATATAAGTAAACTACTTAAATTAGACACCAAAAGTACATATATGACTAGTTGTAACCTCCAATATAAAAAAGTCTCTGAAGGCAACTTATGTCTTATATACTTAAATAAAAATGTCACATCTTAAAGATAGGAACTTTAATATAAAAACAAAAAAATTACAAGATCTTAGACTCTAAAAAACATTTAAAAGTAATTTATATAGAAAACAGAAACATTGAAATAATTAAGAAAAAAAATTAGTAATAGAATTACAAAGTTACTAGTGAAAAATATAAATACAATAAAAGAAATAATGTCAAGTAAGAAAAATTGATCTTTTACACAGATAAATTATTAGTAAAAGCAAAAAAAAAAAATTAAAATTCAGATTATATAGGAGCTAGTTGAATGCAAGTAAACAATAAGAAAGAGTATATGATCAATGAAGATGCTATTGGTGCTAAAGGATAGTTTTTTTTAACAAAAACAGAACTGCTAGCTATTTGGTATATAATTCTTATAGTACTAAGCAAAAGTAAAATTAAAATATACACAGACAGTGCAGCAGTTATAGCAAGTATACATAGTAATACACAATATATAATAATAAAAAAAAAAATAAAAAAAAAAAATTATAACTTAGTTGTGAATATATAAGATACAATATAAATAAAAAATTATATTTAAAGTTAGTAAAAATAAAGAGATATAGTAATAATAGATAAAATAACAAAACAAATAATATAACAAAAAGAGGAACAAATATACAAGATAAAAATAAAATTATAAAAGAACCTGTTTTAAAATCTAATATAACATTTTAGTGAGAAGACAAAGTAGTAGAAAATTCAATATAAGGTTTTATTAAAAAAGTTCTTAATGTCAGAAATAATGCAAATTAAAACTGCATATTAGTAGTTAAAAAATTAGAATCAGAAAGAGAAGAAAGCAAGTACTGTTGGATACTATTATAAAAAAAGATCAAGAATCAGAGTGGAACAAAATATATCTTAACTAAAAGAAATAAAAAACTGAGTATATTCTTTAAATATATACAAGAAAGAATACTTATATTTAAAGAATTAATAATAAGATGACCAGACTTGTATGCAAATACAACTTATATAGTTTGTAAATAAAAAATAAAAAAATATTAGGACCATTTAGCAATATGCTCTTTTTACAAAAACTACTGAGTAAAAACAAAAACATTAATAATAACAATAGCATAAAGCATACTTTTTTTAAAAAAAAAAAAAAGTATTGCTTAAAAATAGCTAAAAAAACAATCTGAGACCAAACAAAAAAAAAAGCTGAAATAAGAAAAAAACTTATTAAAGATCTTTTACAAGAGAAAATAGTTAAAAGAGTATAAAATATTTTAATTTTAATACAAGAAACAAAAAATTTCCTAATAAGTATAGTAGATACTATATAGAATAAATTTTATAAAATAATTTAAAAAGAAAGATGCAATAAAGTATCTGAATAAAAGAAAGTTATAAAATTGGTACAAAAAAAAAAAAAACAAGAATAAAGTAATAGAACAACAAGGCAAACTATTATACAAAGTTTTACCAAAATTAAAAGACAAGAACTTAGAAAAAATAAAAGATATAAAAAAGAAAATAAAAACAGAAAATGAAAAAATAGAAAAAATATAAAGAAATATAGTTGAAAAATTAATTAGTAATAACAAAAGGCCTTACTAAAACAGTCTTAAAGCTAGCCTGAATAGTCTTTTAGTAGTGAGTATAAACTCATTCTAATATGGCAAATTATCTTTAGGCACTTATACTATAACTAAGTGATATTAAACCTACAAATTAAGCTAATATTTGTATAATTATATATGCAATTTTCTTAATAAAGAATTCTAACAAGACTACAAAAGAGTTAAAAAAAATTTATTTTAAAAAATTTTTATTAATATTATAAATTATTATTAAAATAAAAATTCTGCTAACTTATTATACTAAAAATAATTTACAAACTAACTAATTATAATTAAATAATATTATATTGGTATTAAATATTATAAGTATAATATATACTTATTATAAATTAATTTAAACTAAGTTTAAAAAACATATTAATAAACATAATATTTTTCTTATTTTAAAACAATTTTATATTTTAATTTAAAATATATATAAATATAAAATATTAGGCATAGTTTAGATTATTATAAAAAAATTAATAAATTTTTATTATTTATAAATAATTTAATTAATAAATAAGAAATATATTGTGCTCTAAAAATAATAATATTAGATAGTAATCAAGTTGTTATTTTTTAAGCAATAGGTTCAGAGTTTAAATCTTATTAATAATAAATGCTTAAAAAATAATTCTATTTTAATAACTTATTTGAAAATCTAAAGATCATAATTCTGTAATTCTGATTATACAAGATGTATTTAAAAGTATGCAATATTATATAAATAAATCTGAAAAGTATATATCTGAGTAAAAAATTTGTTTGAAAGATTTAAGTAAAAAGGTAATATAACTTTTAATAATATTATTTATAAAAACCTTAATCTGAAAAAAAAATTTGAAATAAGTAATCTGTATAAGCAAGAACCTCTATAAGAGAATATTATTTATTTGATTATTAGTTAATTCAGATATAAAGTTATATTATATATAACTAGAGCCTCTTATTCGTATTCATTATTCAAATAATAGTCATATTTAGCAAATATTCGAATAATAGTTTAAAAAGTTTCAAATAATTATTCAGCAAATAATACGAATAAACAAATCTTATTCGATTAAGTTATACTTATTCAAATAAGTATAACTTATTCAAATAGATATAACTTATTTGAATAGGTGTAACTTATTCGAATAGGTATAACTTATTCAAATAGGTGTAACAAATAAGATCAAATAAGTAAATAAATAAAAATGATGCAATACCCATTGCAGCGAATTTATGAAATACTCCAAAAATTAAAAAATTTGACTACTAATATGTAATATAGATTTTGGCAATACTTCCAAGTTGTGATATGTTATTTTAATAAATTTCTATGTCTAATAAGATGCATTGGAGTTGGGAAGCCTGTGGGAAAGATGGGTTAGACACGTTATTAGTCTACAAAAATTTTTTTTAGGGTTTACATTTATAGTTTAATATGTTAATTTGGTAACTAGAATTTAAATCTGAAAAACAAATGCTTGGTTTTGGTGACTGAATTTTAGCTAAATTTCATAAATTCACTATGATGCCAAATGTTAGATTAGTTAAAGATACCTGTGACAATATGTACTTCTGTACTGTACTTATCAGAAATGCATGCATAAAGTTTATATACAAAAATCATATGATATGTACAAGATTCTTGGGTGCCCTTTATAATATAAGTTTTTAGCATGAGCATAAAATAACTATTTTAGTATTTGCTTCTTTATAAATAATGTATATACGAATCTAGAAATAAAAGCAGTTTATTTTAACTTCAAAAATTTTGCTTATAAGTAGACATATAATCTAACTTTGCTTCATTGCTGAACAGATAATAACAACATTTTAAAATTTCAATTCCAATTAAAGTAATTTGTTATTACTCTACACATAGTATTTATATATTTAAAGCATATTACATATCATAGTTTTAAATAAAAGGAATTTTTATTTTTAAATTTCTTGTAAAATCTACATGAGGAAGAGATGTTTCAATAAGTGCCATGTTTGTTTAATATAATGATAAGTAATTTAGCACATGTATCCAAGATGATTAAACTGTATATTTGTCAAAAAAAAAAAAGTTGAACTGAAAAGTCGAACTGCATTACTTTGTTTTATAATGATACAATAATAAAGGCAGGGTTTTCTTTTTTTTGAATAAAAATACTGGTCTTAAAAAATCTTGTGCTTAGAAAAATGTCTCATATAAACAGTAAAGATAAATGCAGAGTTAGTAATATTTGAAAATGTGCGCATGCAGAAAACAATAGTACTACTACTAGTAAACAAGAAAAAATCCAACTTAATGCTAAAAGTTCAAATAATCTGAGTTACGTATAGCATCACTTTACAGTTTTAGAAAATAAGGTTCATGCTTAATGCCAAATATGTGATAGAAAAGGAAAAAGTATAAAGTATGTATTTCATGACACCACAAGCAATATGATATATCATTTAGAAAATGAACATGGAATCTCGAAAAAAAATCCTATAGGCAATGTAAGTTTTTTTTTTTTAATACTGTATAATTAATTAAAAAAATTATTAATAGTAAATAAATTTAGGTAGAAGATAGAAATATTGAAGATTTTTTTGAAGTTGCTCATGGGAAGGCTGCCCACAAAAAACAACCAATTATTGAAATCACTATGTTAACTTGGATAATTGATGACTGTCAACCACTTTATCATTTGCAGTTCTAGTCTTTTAAATCATTTATGGAAGTAGCATTGCCTGAATTCAAAGTTCCAAGTAATGATAAAGCATGATGTATGATTATTAATGCATATACCTAATTGACTAGGCAACTTACAGAATTATTACAAGATACTTATTCTGTCAGTATTACTACAAATTTGTGATCTTCACGTAATAATGAACTATATATTGGAGTTATAGCCAGATGAATAGATTCTAAAGATTGGTCATTAAAAGAAGCATTACTAGCTTGCAAAAAAATTAATGAAAAAAATACAGGTGAAAATATTAAAAATACCTTAGAGAAAGTAATTGAACAGTTTCAACTTAAGCAAAAATTAATTGCCACTATCATGGATAATAGCATGGATGTTGTAAAAGCTATCTAATTAATGAAAACTTTACATATGCCATGCACTGCTCATACACTTAATTTAAGTGTAACTAAAGGTCTCAATGCTACTGGTGCATTCAAGAAATATGTTACAAATCTTATTTTATTTTTTAATAGTAGTCCTAAGAATACAGAAAATCTTAGAGATGCACAATGCAAGTTAAACTACCAAAAGGTGTATGAAGTTCTTTTGGATGTTCAGACCCATTGAAACTTGATATATATTGCATGAAAACGTTTACTTGAACTAAAAAATGCTATACTCTACCTTATTACTATTTTAAAAATTTCTTCAAAGAAGGATGATAAAGATGACATTAGCTATTTGGAACAAATTAATTTGACAAAATTGGAATGGAGGTAATTTTATTATTTTATTAATTTTTATGTTTTTATGTTTTATTAATCAAACTATTTTATTTTTATAATTTACTTTCAGATATGTTAACTGTATTAGCACCTTTTTATAAAGCAACAAAAATGCTATCAGGGGTTTTATATGCTATGCTTAATATGGTTTGCTGTACCATGCATCATCTTAAAAAAATCATAGCCCTACCAAATAATAAAGATGAAGACTATTATGTAGAATTATTATATGGAGAATTAGATATGACTGCAAGTCAAAGTTTATCAATTAATATGCATTCAGATGATAAAATTGTTGATTTGGCAGCTCATGCTAATCAAGCTCTTAATATATCACATGGTTGTATTCAAAAATATAAAAATATATCTGTTAATAGTCAGCAAAATTCTGATCTATGGTTTAAGAAATGTTAAGCTATTGAACCACCAGTCACTATTATGAACATGTTAGAACAGATTAAAGCTACAATTTATTTAAGCATGTGTTAGTATTGGGATGTTCTAAAGGAAATTACTTTACTTTTGGCATTGTTGGACCCTCGATACAAGAAGCTTAAGTTTGTTACAGAAATTCAACGTAATATGACAGTTGATAAGCTAAATGAGCTATATCGAATTAAACAGGCTATTATTATAAAAGAGTCAAATGATAGCTTATATAACAATTTATCTAAGTTATCATTTACAAATAAACTATCAGCACAATCAGCAAACTCTTTCCGATGATCCTCTGCACCAATTTTTTTCACATATACTGACCTACGAAAATTATATAGTTAGCATGTTT